TCCAGGGGTAAAGTAAAGGCCGTTAGTTTCCTCTTACCAATGGACATGTCATCATATGCTGAAAAGCAAGGTTCCCTCAAAAGCCCACAAAATCAGAGCACAAAACAGTTAACCACCATCGCTGAAAAGGATATGTGAGCTGGTGAATTTTTAAAGGCCCATTGATTCTTGAGATAAATTGGCCTTAAATGATAGCTGTGTGTCAGGTTCCTTTCCTGCAAAACACTTTGGCAGGATGCCTGCAGAGAACCACCCGGCCTGTGTTTCAGGTCACTGGCCTGATGTTCAGCATGGAAATGGAAGACATGACAAAGCCGGCTGGAAGCCCATACACCGTGATGAAGCCACACGATAGCAAAGGTACCTCCGCAAAGTAGCTTCTGCGCAACATGTCTCAGGAATCCTTTACCTTAGGACTGCTGTAAACAGGGTGCTGAAGCTGCTTTTCATGTGTTTGTCACAAAAAAAGGTGGATGCCATGTCACCGCTTGTGTTTGCTGATTCCCTTGCCAGAAAGGTATTTGATGCAAATGACAAAATAAGAGCTATTAAAGAGCCTCTGAGGTTTTCTCTGTATGTAAGACTTTAAAACTTCACAGTACTAATACAGTAAAATTAAGAAGGCGTCACAGAGTCAGCTAACATTGCTCTGAATTTCTGCAAAGCTTGGCAATGACTGTTTATGTCCATTTGGGGTTCACCTCTAAGGGAGAGCAGGGGAGAATAAGTACTAATGGATATGAAAATGTGACTACAAATCTGTTTCCGACTTGGTGTGTTCATCTAGCCAGAGACTAAAGGCTGTACACCAAGTCAAAATAGGAAGAATTGTGAATATCAGAATTTTTCAGGAATGGCTTCTCAGCACAGCTCGGACCAAAAATCATTAGCAGAAATTCAGCAAACAGGTGCAGAATAAATGTGAGAGAGAACTACAAAGAGCTTGTAAAAAATGAGTGCTTGTTAGTTCTAGTCATATGAGTAAAGATAGTGTCCCACATGTTTATTTTGATTACAGGTATTTATGGAACCAAAATACTGCACATTGCTATTTCTTTATGTACAGACAGCACTGATGATTGAATATTGTACGGAAAATGCATGAACAGTATATGTTTGTACTGATAACTTTAAGGAAGATTTTCAGCTCATTTTCTACTCTTAAAGTCTTGAGCTTTCAAAAGTGAAAGCAGAGACCTGGTGGAAAAAAATCCCTTCTGGATTTTCTGTGATGTTGTATGCTTGTATAAAAATCTGTGCTCCTTTTTTCAGTTTGAAATTCACCATGGTTTGTATATTCAAGTACATTTTTAATATATTCTCACCAATGAAGTAATAATTTCAATTTCACTGCTATTTTATTTGTGGATTTTTATGTTCAGCTTGGGTCCATACAGAGTTGCATTGTAATGTCTGAAGTAATGAATCGATGACTTCCAGCAAATGAGGTTACAGTTTGGGAAGTTTACTGAACAGCTCATTTTAGAAGGCATTTACAGGGAAGTCCTTTTTAAATTCTAAAGAAAGTGTCATTGTCAGAAACTAGACACTGAATATGTGTTAAGTACCTAAATCCAGTTAATTTCACTTAGCAAAGTAACAACAAATGTCTCTCTTTGAAAATCTGGCACCTAGACCTTTAAGGTACCCAAGCTTTTGACAAGTCATGTTGAACACCAGATTTAATGGGATTTGGGGATCCATATGCTTTAGACAGCTTTCAAAAGTCTCAACTTTTAAGTTTTCTAAGCCTCAGCTTCCATGAAGCAGCAGTGGGAATTCTCTTCTCCCACCCCTTTTTTTTTTTTTTGTGGCAATTCAATGTAGATAGGTTGCTGACACTGAGATTGCATATTAGCAAGCACATGATAATGTCAATTGTAGTGGGCTGCTGATTCTGATGTCACACAAATACATGTAACTTTGTGCATGGTCAAGAAATCAAACTCACCAGACATTTATTAGAGGTATAACGGTATTAAATTTTTGTATACTTATAGGGAAAAAGAAGAGAAAAGGTGGAAGGGAGAAGAGGGAAAGGAATCAAAGTAGTCATTGACAAATGGCAGTCAGTATATTAATGGAAAGATTTATTTTTTAATTATATTTTTGCAGTCTTTAGCAGTGCCCACAGATTTAAGAACACAGGATGATGCACAGGAACATTAATTTTTAAAAGCAGTTGTGCAAATTTGACCTAGCTCTGCTTCTCCAGAAGAACCAGATTGTAGCAGAGGCCACAGAGAAACCACTGAGCACATCAGTTTTACCACAGTACAGCATGAAGTAACTTACCATGGAGCACTTACTGGCAATTAAAACATTCCAATATTAAGCATTCATAGATTGTTCAGTGCAAAAAGGGCAGGTAAAAGCAAAGCGAGTGTTAAAATTTGGATAGAGAGATGCAGGCAGCAATTAAGCCATGGTCTTTTTCTTTCTTCTTCCCAAGAGGACCCATACAAGTTCAGAGGAGCTCTGGGCTTCTACCTAAAACCACTCTGGAATATATCTATATTAAACCCTGCAATATATATTAAATCCTATTCACTGATGGCCAGGCTTGTTGGACAGTTTCCAGTTGGAAATTCTTCCTTTTGGAGAGGTGGTCAGTGGTATTCAGCCATTCAGGGACGGGACTGCACAAGCAGTTGAGACAGCAAGAAGTTTCCTCCTGCATTAGCACTGGCCACTAAGAGATGTACACTCCTGTGTCACACTTGTGCTTGGTGTTAAGTGCCTTTGTATCTCCATAGCGAATGCTGATAAAGACAGAGTCCACCACTGCCATTTGTTAAATGACACATTCTCCATTCCATCAGCATGACTAGTCAAGAGTAGTGAAACACGTCTCTAGATTGGAGACAAGAAAGTCTTGTCAGAGTTGATTCTCGACTTAAATCAGTGGGATAGTGCCAATCTAACTGTTACTTCACATTTACATCTTTGTAAGTGAGAGAGAAATTGGGTATTATCTTTCTTTAGGAAAGTTTTTAAAGCTATGGTCATAACACAGAAGTGCAAAGCCATGAGCAATGGACCAGTGGGGAGGAGTTGCTAAGGATGAAGGTGAAATTTAGACGTTGTGTGTCTGAGGGTAGCACACAGTCAAATGTTTAAAATCTTGATGCCCAAGTAAACAGTAACAATCCTTAAATGCATCTTCAACCTACACTAGATCTCACCTTTGCCAAAATAACAGTGTCTGCATAGCAAAATCCTTATAAAGAAATAAACAAATATATCCTGCCATTCATAAAACTGCACTCTCCCAGAATGGTGCTCCTCAGCTATACCGTGGAAAGTGCTAATGTTAAAGGGTGTGTCTACAGCAGCATTTCAGTCAGAGTCAGGAGTACCCTCCTGAGTGAATTTCCTGGTCAAACCCACTTACTATACTTTGTTTCACATTGTAGAGTGGTCTCAAAGCACATGAATGGATCTCTTCTGGATGAAACTAAGTCAGAGGATGTGCTTATAAGGTGCTCCAAAAGCTAACAGGAATTCAGTGCATGGGACCACACTAGCAAGCCCTCTGAAATACCTGTAGCGTGGACAACAGCAGTGATGGTTTTGCTCTACTCGTCCTCCTCTACTGGTCCACACTGCTTGCTAATGTAGACAGAGCTTTAGAGCACCCAGACAACAGAGCTACTATCTCAGAGACTTAAAAAGAAAATCTAACCAGGTGAAATTTCATCTTGTTATACTATAGAGAGGAGGAGATGCCTTTCATCAGTCTTGTCTGTCTGGTGTTTAAGGAGCCTCACTCCTGCCGCAGACACAGAGGTGGAGATGTGATGCTCCAGACTGTAACAGAGGAGTAACATTATCATCTTCTCCAGTGAATTCTTGCTCAAAGTTCAAATGAGTCTCACGCTTGCATCCTTAGACAACGAATCCACACCCAAAGGTAACAGATCGGTGTGCGGGGCACATCTCCTCTCAAAGTCACCCAGTACAAGCACATTCCACCTACTGCGAGCTCCGTTTATAGGAGTGAGAGCACAATTTATGATGTGCCAAATTGTCCACAGCCTTTATAACCATTGTATTTTTGCTCCTACATCTTAAATCCCTCACAGCTGAACTTCAATTTTTCTCTGCCATTTCTGATCAGGCATAATCTAAGAATATATCAGCATGGAAGTAATTCAGCTGAGGAGCCTCTGACACCAGGTAAGTGATGCTGGTCTTTAATGCTGTTATTTTCAATGACGTTAACAATATTAATTCCAGCACTGACAGGCTCCCTCTGTAGTCCTGAAACTTTATTTTCGTTTAGCTGGGGTGAGAAAATGAGGCCTTGAACAGTCCTTCAGTGTTGTGATGAATTCAATACAACGTAACTCCACTATGTGCATGTCCTTCTATGATCATCTAAGCATAGCATGGACAGCTGGTTCAAAGGTCGCAGATGTTTTTTTTACTGTTGGGTGCTATAAAGTACACAATGTTTTCTCTTCAGGATGGAAAAATACAGGTTGTATTAGACCTGTTCGGCACTTCTACTGCATAATGCCTGTCATCGCATTTAAAATGTAGATCAAATTCTGCTAACCTTAGGGAAGTTGCTGGCTGTGCTGAAGTCAAGACAGATGGTCACTTCAGGGAATGTTTCTTTTATGGCAAGTGCTCATTTGAGTAGGAGTATTTGTAGCTGGATGAGTCACCTCTTTCTCAATTGCTGCAAGAGATACCAAAAAATGATTTTCACATAGGGATATTCAAAAACATAGCAGAGGCTGAAAAATACGTCTTCAAAGCATCTTGCAGTGGTTTCCTTCTCCAGTGGGAGTATTATATGGCATGTGTAGACTGATTAAAAAAAAAATCCTCCAATATTTTGTTTCTGCTGAAAACTGTAATGAAATGTCTTTTTTCTTTTTTTTTTTTTTTTACAAAATCATGTGGTACTTGATATACAAAATCAGTCCCACAACAGCAAAATGCACTAAATCATAATAAAATCACTCTGTTTAATGTAAAATGTAAGAAACTTAGAGTAAAGTGCAAAAATTAGAGCGAATGTTTCTAATCTGTGGCTCTTCAGTAGCAGGTTTGACTCTTCCACGGTTTAGAGGACAAGGACCATCGTCTGCGTGCTGGTTGCCACGGAGACTCCCATCGCTTTTGGAATCACAAGTTTTGCCTGAAAGGAAACACTCCTTCAGCGTGAGTTTTTAATGACCATAGAGGTTTCTGTTTGTCAGCACACCATATACTAGATTAACTACCACGTCTAAGCAAGTGGGAGAGAAGGGAGTGAAATATTTTCTAGTAATCAGTGACAACATATTTAGTCTGTACAAAATCCACAAAACACATAAATACAATTACAAGACTCGCTGCATTAGATTAGACTGTTATGGCATCAAATCTGTTACCTATCTTGCAGTATCAGCTACTTCAAAGGAGAATGAACTTTGGTCGTATAACATGGGCACAGATGGCAATACATCCTTCTGACTCCTGCAGGAGACTAGCTTGAGGACTGCCAGGCTGCATAGCCAGTGAGGTCTCTCTTTCTCAGGCTTGAGCCGATAAGGCCTTCCCCATAACTACAAATAATGACAGCTTTTCTAGGAAAAGATGTGTACATGAACAATTGGGTCTGTTCATGTGAAGAGCTGTCTAACATTTATCCATTCTGTTTGCACTGCCAGAAGGACTCTGGGGTTTGACAGCTACGTCAGCTTCTTTTCCCTAGAGTACAATTAACACCTGGGATTGCTCTGAAGGTGAGTTTGTTTGGCCCTAAACACTGTGCAGAATGGTTAGTTTCATCAACATGGATATGTTGGTGTGACTTTCTGGCTTGAATAAAACAACAGTTACTCAGAAGAAGAATATAATGAAGCTGCAAGATTAAGCCTCAGTTACTTCCTAGTTCTGCTGTCTTTTCTAGATGGTAACTAAATACCTGTTAAATCTGCAATTTTTGCTTGATTTCTTCTTTTGGGGCTGTTTTGTGCATCTGCAGGGCCATCAATATACTTCATTGCAATGGCTGGGGTCTGGTCCTTCTCTGGCTGAGTCTGAGTAACTGAAAGAAGAAAAGAAAGGATACTTAATTGAGTTGTATTAATGTTCATTTGTTCAAGGAGGGAAAGATATGTTGAGTTGATTCTACCTGGCTGATGACAACTTGGTATTGTTTCAGTCCTGCCTTCTTGAAAGGACTGACCAGATTCATGGCCAGAATCTAAGTCTTTCATTGGCCTTCCCATAATCTCATTCTCAGTTGCAGTTTTATTTCTAATGAGGAAGTATGTGTGCATTTTCCCTTTGCCTTTTACTTCTATTTCTCCTCTTTCAGTCATCTCAAAATTCTTGTATTTTAGGCATCTAAAATATCAGAAGCAAAATGACACATGAAAATTCAAGATGAGCAAAAATGACACTGATGTTTTAGAAGAGCTAATGTAACCTAAGCAAATCACAACAGTCTGGGGAAAACAGTATTGATCTGTGAACAACTGAGCATTTGTTTCAACTGTTTATTCAAGCCTGCTGTGCTTTTATAGTTTTACATGTACAGCCTGACCAAAAATCAATGGATCACATAGTCAAATAATTCAGTATGGTGGAAGGTTCTTATTGATCAGTAAATAGAAATTAAGAACTGAGGCAGCCAATATCAGTTAGACAGAAATATCTCCAGTCATTTCATCAGAGAAGGCAATCAGGTTCATCAAGCATGATTTACTCCTGGGAAATCCACACTGGCTATTCCCAATTGCCACCTTCATGTGCCCAAAAATGGCTTTGAAGAGGACTTGATTTTCACTGGGACTGACATGAGGCTGACCAGCCTATAGTTCCCCAACTTGTCCTCCTTGCCATTTTTCAATATAGGTGTAACACCTGGCTTGCTTCAGTTGCTACGGTGCTGATCTTCATGCCCTTCCAAAGACGACAGTCAGCAGCACTGTAATGCCATCACCCATTCTCTCTCATTACCTTTGGAGGCATCCCATCTGCTCCCATACACTTCTATAGATTGAGATTTCTCAAAAGACCCCTAATCTGATCGCCTTCCAATACTGGTATTCCACCTACTCCTTGAAACCTGGCTCTAGTTGCAGGGACCTTGAAGACGTAGTCAGCGAAGACTGAGGCAAGTCCACGTTACCATTTATAATTTTCTGCCAACATAGCGGAAGCTTCTTTTACTGCCTTTGAACTTTCCTTGCCCATTTCAATGCTAGCTGAGCTCTGGCTTTCCTAATATCATTCCTATGGGCCCAGATAATGTTTTTCTACTCCTCCTTTGTAGCTTGTCTTCACTTCCACCTCTTGCGTACACATTCTATGCATACATAAAATTCTTGAAAATGTAGTATTTAATTTTTAGTGACATGAGTTTTAGGAAAGTAAATTCCTCACTACATGAATAGGATAGTGGTTTGTGCAGTTAATCCCTAGCAAGTGCAAATAAAACTTTCATCGCAAACTGTTGTGCTCAATCAGAGAGATTTTAAAGCTTTTGTTAGGCGGGATGTCAAATTAAACATTCTGACCATCTTTCTAGCATTTACATCACTCTATTGGTACTTCCAAATAAGCTATCACAATTAGTTTTTTCCCATATTTTGCTCTCGAGGATTGAGACTCTCAAACCTCTGTCTCCATATACAAGTGCATTTGAAATAATCAGAACAAATAAAACTCTTTGCAAGCAGCGATTTTTCTTTATAAAAGTAAGCTGCATAAATCAGTGACTAAAGACAGCACCATCTACACTGAAAGCTGCAGCTGTCAAGACAGTTTTTTTTAGCACAGCTTTTAACAAGCAAAGCTTCCATCATAGTTACTCACTGATAGGTACTGGAGCTTAGATGAATTTTACTCGGGACACCATGACTTTCCATTCGGGAAGCTATATTCACCGTGTCTCCAAACAAGCAATAACGAGGCATCTTTTCTCCAACAACTCCAGCCAAGACAGGACCTGTATGGATCCCAACTCTAATCTTTACAAAGACATAAAACACCCCCCAAAAATGTCACTTGTTATTTAACATCTTTCTTAATGCTATCCAGCCACCTAAAAATTCATCCTAACACAACACTGAACACCAGTAAAATATCAAATATCCACAGGGAGAGGCTCTTTGTGAAAAATGTACCCATGCAGGCCTTGCCCAAAGTCACAGAGGAGTCAGAAGCTCTTTGATGTCCTACTGCAATATATTAAACAGAAGCCCAACCCAAGAAGCAGACAGACACGCATGCATCTGTGTTAACAACTTACTTGGATAGGATTTCCAGAAACTGGGTTCTGTACTCCTGTAGCTGCTATTATCATCCCCAAGGCAAAGTTAGCAACTCGCTCAGCATGAGTGGGTACAGGCACAGGGACCCCACCTACTACCATATAGGCATCTCCAATTGTCTCCACCTTTAATTGAGAGGGACAAGCATATGAGCATGCCATATGTATCTTGCTCAGGTTAATGCTTTGCTGTCTGGGGCCTTTCTTACCTGCACCAACACCCCCTTTCTTCTTAGAGATGTTTCCAATCACTAAAAAGCTCTAGCACCTGTGAGTTTCCTTGAGATGGGGATCCTTTCCTTGACTCCACACTAAAAATGTCAATGCATTCTGTCCCTGCTTACTTGACCCATTTTAGATATCAGAGTGAGAGACCCTAAGGAGTAAGGGATGCTATGAAAGTGTCAGATTTTTGCCTTCCTCTTACCCAGGGCAGGCCTAGATGCAAAGAGCTATGCCCAGGCACAGACTCCTGAGCCAGGAGGTTATCCAATAGCTGAATGCTATTAATTAGCTCTAATTCACAATTGGTGTTAAAAGCGTATTTCTTTTTTAAAAGATTTTTTTTTTTAGTGTCACAGTAAAGCAAGGGAGTCTATTCACTGGTGATTATCATTATTGGGGGGTTCACATGAAATTAAGAAACCCCCAATCTCCAGGATGTCAGAGAATGCAAAGTGTGAACGAAGCAGTTCAGGAGCATCCTTCCTTAAACCCAGCTGTTTTCCCACAACATGCTGCAGCCTACAAGACAAATGCTGAAGCGTTCATCCTCCTTCAGGCATCCAGTCTCCTTGAAGTGCATGATAAGGCACCTGAGAAATACTCTGGGGTTTGTCCCTGTACCAGAGATTTTGCTGGGAATAGAATAGGCCTGTTTGAAACAGAGAATTCTCAAATGTTCAAAATTTATTGTAAAAGACTGTTACATGGTAAAGAAATTTTCTAAACTGCTCTTATAGACTTCACTGTTACATTTACCATCAGTAAATAAGAGATCAGTTTAAATTAGATTAACTGGATTTCTTAAAAATGAACACCAATAGGAGAACACAAACATAATTTCATCTTTGGGCTTGTTCATTAACATAATGATTTAAAACTGTTCAGTACATTAGTCTCAAAAAATGTCTTCCTGTACGTGCCTTCTATCACATAGCCAACCCCACAGTAATGCCAGTAATTTTCTATAACAAATTAAAAATAACTGTAAATAGCTACTAATGCAAATAGATACCCTAATAATTTTTCGGCCATGGTAGGAGACTTAATTTAACCAGATTTATTCATAACTTCAGATGTTTATAAGCTTGGGCCAAGTTTCTTTGATCAATTTCAACATTTATTTCTCAATTCCCTGAAATAGTAATCTCATCCTCCCTCTCTGTACCCTAGTAACCTCCTTCAATATTAACAGGAGTTATATACAGGCATCAAAAGGACATTATTATAGTGATAGATAATTTACTCATGATGGATGATTTAGATAGAATATGATGCTAATTTATCCTAAAATCTGTGGGCCATATCCTGGATGCTTCAATTATTGAAATCAGTTTCCTTGCCAAGGCAGAAATGCTTCTGATTTCCCAGTACAATTTACTGCGGGATGAATTGCATGCCTTGCCTGAGCAAGGAATGAATGAGATTTGGATTTCACCCTTTATTATTTCTGCCTTCCTAAATATTTAATGTGCTGGGGACAGACAGAAACTTAGGACTTGCTCTTCAGCTCGTCCAATCTGGGTAGCTCTAGACATGTTAATAACACTATTATTATATGTCAGCCAGGGCTCTGATCCTTCTAGCATGGTTTGGAGACAACACGTACATTACAGTCTAGATCTAATCAATGCTCTTTGGGGTCAGCAGGAGATCTATACCATTGCCCAAGATCTCCATGAAGCAAAACAAAGTCTAGGAATTATCTGGGTATTGTTTATAATGCTATTTCCCACCAAATGAGACATTTAATGACATAGTGACCTATTTATAACAGGTTGGAATAAAAGAACTAGGAAAATTATTCAAATTGGTCCATAAACTAGGATATCCTGTCATGTTGGGTAGGCATTTGAGAGAGAAGAGAGAGAGAGCTGTACAGAAGAACAGCCATTCTGGTGTTAGCATTGTGGAAAGAGACTCTAGCCCATGATAGACGTTACATTCCTGTCTGAAAATTTTAAACAAGTTTAATCACACCTCTGCCTGTTCTTTAGTTTCTCTGTGTGGCCACTACAAGTACGCAATATTTTATGGTTTAAGTGCATTTAAAAACAAAAAAACCAAAACAACAACAACAAAATCTTTTTCCAGACTATTTCTACAGTCTTTATCGATCAGTACATACCTTGTACACATCATGCACCGTGGTCAGTCTGTCAAATTGCAGGTACATTGAATTTAACATGAGAACTATCTGAATAGGCTCACATTGGGCACAAATGTTGGTAAAGGTCACAACATCGCTGAACAATATAGTGCACTCCTTGAACTCTCCTGTGAGCAGAAAGGCCAGTAGTAAGTACTTGTAATGGCTAGACAACCACGACATTTGTCTGAGACCAATTTGCAAAGATTACTTTCTCATCATTCTTTTAGGACATATGACCTATTAGCTGTAATATTTATATGTGGGTGCTGATATGAAAGAGAGATGTCAATATAAAAGTATATCAAATATAAGAATCATCGCACATCTCAAACAATCCAGACATCTGAATACATCCCTTTGTCCATCCATACTCAGGATATATTTAGCTCTTTACTCCTACCTTCACATATGTGCTTACTAAATGAAGTTTAAGCATATTCTTACTTGCTGTCCTTAATAACAATGGGAATCATGATGATTCTAGGTTTATAGATAACATAGAGTAACTAAGAAAATTTTCTATGAAAGACCAATTTCTTTATGCCTTTCATTTTTAAGCCCTCATTTCCTTGTATATCCACGTTAAAAACAAAATCCTTTTGTTTCTGAGGCCTCATTTCCTTGTATACCTAAGTGAAAAACAAAACCTCAGTTTACTGTTGAAACACTGAATTTTGTTCCCTGAATAGGCAGCTGCTACCACCTTTCACCTCCTAAGGAACAATTTTGGCAAACAGCTTCCAAAGCTCTGTTTGAAAGAACGGTCTGATCTTTATTAGAGATTAAGGGTCTGTGGCCCTTCTCCTACCCATGAATGTGACCAAGTAGAGAATGTACTCCACGGTTGTGGCAATGGGGCTGTGCCAGCACCCCAGTCTCTCTATCACCACCACCCAGTGCATAAATCATGCATCATGAATGCATCCTGTTCATTCACCTGCCTCAACTTGCTTCCCCTCTTTCAGCTGGTTGGCCACATGCTGAGGAAGCATGGCGTAGAGCAGAGCTTCAGTCTTCTTCTTCTCTTCCTCCAGGTGCTTCGACAATATCCGCAGTTCTTCCTTCTTCCTCTCCAGCTGGTTAGAGAGCTCCATCTCTGCCAGTCGCTGCTGATTGAGAAGAATCAAATCCCTGGTCACGTCGTGAGGTGCAATGTCTGCGATATGCATCTGTCGCTCCTCCAGTTCATGCAAAGTGCGAAGCAAAGGTGAGCAGAGATAGAGCATGCACTGCAGGGACTCCATCCAGATCATCTGCCCTGTTTGAAACAAGTGTCAGTAAGAATTTTCAGCAGCTTGGACTTTCACATGATGCTCAGTATTACTGATGTTAATTTTACGGGATGAGTTCTAAGGACAGTGGCTTTTGGTAGGGTCTCAGTCACCACAGGAATTACTGTTTCCTGGAATTACAGGTGGACTTGTTTGGAGGAGGTATGCTAGGCAAATAAAAAAACATCAGGACGCAGAAAGCAGTCACTCCTTGCAACTGCTAGGCAGAGCCCAATCACGCTTCAGGTCCCTCCTCTTCACGAGGAACCCCAGTGCTTCCAACATCTCTCCTCTCCTCTGCTACTAGTTCTTGAGCTGTTCCTGAAGCCAGTCAGCATCATGCACAGGGGAATGGAGACTCACAGTGACTAAGTGAAACATTTAAAGTTTAATTTCACAGTGGGTAATATGTGGCCGCAATAAAGTCAATGGAGCCTTCTTTCCTGGAAGCTGGAACTTTCAGTCACTACGATCATCTAAATACGCAGGTACGAAAACACCTGAAAGGTAGAAGGGATTTTTGGTGGGGGATTGAGTTTTTGTTTTCTTTGTTGAGATTTGGTTATGGGTTGTTTTATTATTATTATTATCATCATCATCATCATCATCATCATTATCATTATTAATTTGCTTCATAAGTAACCTTGGTTTATGAACAGCAATCTAGGAATTACTATTTCTTTCTCTCTCTCTCTCTCCCCCCATCCCCAGGGCATCTGGATGAACAGCTTGAAAACTAACAGGACTGGAACAGCAGAGATACCATGTGAATTAACTGTGACAGCGTAAGAGGAAGTAAAATTGTACCCGTGACTAGTTAAAGTTCCTTGTTTTGGTAACATCTCTTTTCTCAAGGTCTCCCTAAACTCTTAATTTTTTTCTGAATCTCAGGAATACCAGATTTGACACTCATTATGTAAAGGTGAAAAGAGAGAAGGGAAAATTAGGTCATACTATACAGTTCAGAGAAGCAAATTGAGGTCACAGAACACTTAAACCAAATGTCATTATAGTTAATTACACGAAGCAGAGAATCATTCCATACATGTTCCTCCCAGTAAAAATAAAGCAAATAAAATATCTTTTTTTCTAAAATACTTTTAACTGGTAAACTCTTATGTAACATTGGGGAGGGGGGTATGGTGAAGACAGAAATCAGAATCTGAAAATGCAACTACAATAAATGAAAGCACAGCTAACTAAACTATTTTTATCCACATTTGAAACCCAGCCAGTAGCAAACAGCTCCCCTCAAAGGCATAAATTAAGAATGAATCATGTATTCACATTTTAGGAATCAAAAATGCACGGAGGCACAGGGGAAACCATTTCTCTCCTCCAGCTGTAGCAACGTTATCAGGACTTTGTCTCTAAGCTCTTCCCTCATCCCCTGCCCCTTCCCGCCCCTCACCTGGCAGACGGGAACCGGGCGCTGGCAGGAGTGATGCTCGCGGTGTATTATTGCGGGACTGCTCACCCGCGTTTCATTATTGTCTGTATGTGCCAAAGATGCAACCCAAGACCTGTGAACGGGCATCGCCTGTGCTGGGTGGCTGGGTTTAAAATGTTATTACGTGTACAAAGTAGTAACTTCTTTGGCAAAGAAAATTCTTAGCAGTGCAAAGCAATTCTGTGTCGGGTGCATGGGCTGATGTGTAGAGCTATGGGGAGGCGAGACCCGGACAGTTACTTTTACACAGCTCAGTGCATCTCCATGCTGAGCTCAGTGGCTCCACAAGCAGAAGCTGGCTCCGAGGGCTGGCATTGTGTCCTTTCCCCAGGTCCCCAGTGAAGCAGAAGGCCATAGCTGAGGGCTGGGGAGATTCACAGGGCAACCGGCATTGAATCCCCACCAAAACCACGTGACAATACAACCATGTTGCAGGCATCGCCCCAGAGTAATGCCTTACATTATGTATTTGGTTCTAACCTCTGCAAAGAAAAACACACGGGATGGCATTATGCAGGCAACTCTCATACCTTTTCTGGGAAATGGGCACGACTGGACACCTCTCTGAGGTGCCTGTACACAAATGTGCACAGCATGGGGAAAAACCAGGAGGAACTAGAGGACTGTGTGCAGTTTCAGGGCTACCATGTCATTGAGATCATAGAGGCTTGGTCGGGTAGTTCACACACCCGGACTACTGCAAAGGATGAATGCAGACTCTTCAGAAAGGACAAGCAGGCAAGGAGGGGGAGCTGCCTTTTATGTGAGAGAGCAAGGGAAACGCGTGGAGCTCTGCCTAGGGCTGGATGATGAGCCAGCTGAGAGCTTCTAGATAAGGATTAGAGGGTAGACCAATGTGGGTGACGTTGTGACGGGTGTCTGCCACAGATGCCCTGCGCAGAAAGAAAAAGTAGATGAGACCTTCTTAAGACAAGTGGAGGAAGCCTCATGTTGGACTTTAGGTACTTTGATATTTGCTGGACAGACAACACAGCAGGGCACAAGCAATTCAGGTTTCTGGCGTGCACTGAGGCACTGACACAGGTGAGCTTCCTGACACAAGTGACTGAGGAGCCGATGAGGGGCGGTGTCCGGCTAGACCTGATGCTTACAAACAGTGAAGAACTATGGATGTGAAAGCTAGGCGCAGCCTTGGCTGCAAAGACTGTGTGATGGTGGAGTACAGGAACCTAAGAGGATCGAGGCAAAAAAAAGCAAGATTGCAACCCTGGACTTCGGGAGACTGGACTTTGTCCCATTCAGGGATCTGCTTGGAAGAATCCCATGGGATACAGTCTTGGAAAGAAGAAGGGTCCAGAAGAGCTAGATGATTTCCAAGGCTGTCCTCTTCCAAGGAGGTCTATGCCGATGTGCAGTAAGTCAAGCAAATGCAGCAGTGACCTGCATGGATGAACAAGGAGCTCTTGACTAAACTCGAACATAAAAAAGAAAGAATATGAGATGTGAAAGCAGTGTCAGGTCACCCCAGAGGAAGAGACAGGGCTGAAAAAGCCAAAACCCTCCTGGAGTTGCAACTGTTAAGGAACAAGAAGGGCTTCTACAGGTATACGAGCAGCAAAAGGAAGAGTAGTGAAAACGTGTGCCTGCTGCTGACCAGGGCAAGGGATCTGCTGAGAAAGGATATGGAAAAGTCCAAGGTACTCTGTGCCTTGCTTGCTTCAGTCATTGCTTGTGAGAATCACCCTTCAGGAATCACAGGGCCCTGAGACCAGCAGGAAAGTCTGGAGCAATGAAGACCTACCATCGGCACAGGAGGTTCAGGTTAGTAAACATTTAAACAAATTTGATACACAGAAGTCCACGAGACCTGATGTGATGGATCCAGGAGTGCTGAGGGAGCTGACCAGCATCGTTGCAAGGCCACTCTCAGTTAGTTTTGAAGGTCATGGTGACTGGGGAAGGTTCCTGAGGACTGGAAGAAAGTAAATGTCACTCCTATTTTCAAGAAGTAAAGGGTGTAGGACCTGGGAAGGCTTGGAGCATCTCTCATGTAAGGAGAAACTAAGAGAGCTGGGGTTGTTCAGCCTAGAGAAGACAAGCCTCAGGGGGAGCTTATCAATACGTATAAATACCTGATAGGAAGGAGTAAAAAATACTTTTCTCCGTAGTATCCAATGAAAGGACAAGAGACAATGGACACTAACTGAAATGCAGGGATTCCATTTAAACATAAGAAAAAACTGTAAGGGTGGTTAAAAACTGCAATGGGTCACCCAGGGAAGTTGTAGAGTCTCCATTCTTGAACACACTCAAAACCCAGCTAGACATGGTCCTGATTAACCTGCTCTAGTTGACCCTGCTTTGAGTGGGGATGGACCAGACAATCTCCAGAGGTCCCTTCCAAACTCAACTGGAGTTGAGTCATTCTGTCACTCTGTGAATAACTGAGACTAGAGGTGATTCAGAAAACAATCTAATCCTACCTTGGCTGTGCCCCTGTAACTCAGGAAACCTGCAAAGATGTGGGGTTTGCAGCATTAGAAAAACACTGTCTTTCTAAGCCTTTCAAATGGGAGCGCAGTTGTTATTTCTGACTGAAAACCTTCAAAATCTGGTGAAGTAATAGCAGAATTTGTCTACAAGCATCTTAAAGTACTGTTTCTCTAAACAGAACCATCTAATCCTCTCCTCACTGCACAAAGACAAGGCTATTTATAGGATTTATGTGAAGCCAGAAGTCCACAGAAAGGCATTAGTTCAACTCCAGCATAATTCCTGATTTACTATGAATACTTATGCTATTGAAAACAGTTAAGTACCTCTCAGCTCTAGCATTGGCCGGTGTTTCCATGACTCTGGCATCATCTCTCTTCTAGTCTGGAAAACAAATTGGCTGTTGATGAATTTCTGAATGCTAGAGATGGTGAAGGGTACTTCTGGGTGAACGATACTGAAATAGTGATCCAAGCAGATGCCCATGGTCTGGAGGCCAGGTACAATCTTCTGAATGCTCACCCCAGCTTGCTTCACTCTGAGCTTAAAAAGAAAATATGGACAACGGTTATAATTCATATCCTGTTTGGGTTCAAGCCAAGCTATAGCTGATCACTGTTTATATGTGTACACACACTTAGCCTTGCTATACCACACGGCTTATTTCTGAGCAAAGTTTCTATCTTAGTGTACTACTGCAAAACTCTGACTGAGTGTCCTTCATAGCGAGACAAAGCCCCCAGAAAGGGATGTTATTATCCAAATACTCTTCCCTATCAATTGTTCCAAACAAAACAAAACAACCTGCTATTATCCTTGCTTGCATTTGTGTAGGCCTAACAAATAGCCTTACAGGCAGCTGCAAGAGAAAATTAGAGATACCAGAGTGTGTTCTGCATTCCAAAAAGAAAATAACTGTGGCACAAAATGTCTTGGCAAATATTGATTTTCTAATGGATGCCGTGGGTTACCTCATCTTAACCATTGCTGTGTAAAGGCTTAGTTGTTCTCTTTTAGCCTGCTGACCATGCATGAGCTCCTAACTCCTGCAGAAATGTCCACCCTGCCTTCGCTGCTTGTCATCAGAGTTACTGAAGCTCTGACCTAGCTACCAATAATGGGTACATGACTTGCCCTTTTTCCACACCAGTAATTTTCTCAAATTATGCAGACTGGATATCTTGAAAGGTTTAAAACTCTGAACTTCGGCTAATGTGGACAGTGGCACGAAGTAGACTATGTTCTCTGGAATCTCTACCAGCGTGATGCCAAAACATGTTCCCCGAGTGGCTGTACTGAGTTTTCTTCTGCTGTCCTATTCTCAGCTTCTCCTTTCTTTGCTCCTGTCTTAAGCTAATATTCCTTCCACAGAACTGGGAGCAAGAGGAACTGTAGCTTGGTGGGAACCCAGGCTAGTTGGAAACCAGCCACAGGGCGGTCCCTGCCAAGGGAAGGGCAATTCCATTGCTGCAGAGTATGCATGCACAGGAGAGAAGGCTCAATCCTCCCCCAGAAGAGAAAGAGATTTTGGGGTCCAGTTTCTACTACATGGGGTTGCATGCTGCCCAATTTAGTAGGTAGCTGGGTTTTCCCAGCAGAAGCACGGAGTAGACTCAGGAAGCACGCAGGGCCTCAGTTGCCAGCAAAGCCTTACAAAAGCCTTTGGATATATTAGTAACGGGGAGGAGAGGGCGACTAGCTGTAAGTACAAAGCCAGTTTAAAGGATGGATCGTGTGTCTGGCACATCCAAGGACAGGAAGGTGGCCAGCAACCTCAGAAAATTCTGTTTGGTGTTTGGTAACGGATAGACTGCTGCAATAAACCTTGTTGGCATATCAGCAGCTGTTTCAGACATGGTAATCTCAATAAATTCAAAGGAGATTCCTATCTGAAATGATCCAGATCCAGTTGTTACGAGTGACTTTTATTGCATGTCTCTGCACAGAGCACTTCTGCAAATCCTACAAAGGAGTGTGCACTGTATACAGAGCACACGCAGCAGTGACCTGTAGGACAGTCAGAACAGAAGAAAATTACTATATGGTTTATGCAGGCTAAAGGCCCTTACCACATGCTTGTCCTACCTCTTTGTCAAAAACCATATGAAAAGGAAGTCCATTGCAAAATGTTTTTGTGTCAATCCAGAGGCTCTTGGGGTAAACAGGATCAAATCCTCTCAGGAGCTTACCTGTGCAAGATAAATGTGCAGTTTTTAATGGGGTTGCACCTCATAAAACCAGTCAGCATTACTTTTTAGCACTCAGTGAGACAGGACCCTATATCATAATGAATGAAGACAAAGTAAACAGTGTGTGGGTCCAGAAGTGTGCATACATCTGTGCTAAATGCTCTGCAGTTTAATACACAGCTGATTAGCAACTAATCTGAGTTGGCTGAGAGTTTAAAACTTAACCACAAAAAAACCATAGAGCATTAGATGCATGAAATTATGTGGAAGCAATAAGAGTAGATAAACAACTGTAGATGTTGCTGCTCTATGAATTCGCAGATGCCATAGCAATATAACACAGCTATATTCCACAAAAATATACACAAAAGTTGATTAAATATACTTTGCTAGCTACTAAGGGACACTTACGGAGAAAAAACCCAGCATGATCTAGGTTTCAGTCTCCTATACAAAGCACTCTAGTCTGTAACACAAAGACAAAATTACTGTTTGGTTTCTATTTTACTTACTCTGATTGTTTTTCAAAATGGTCACAAATCTACAGAGGAGTTTGTTCTTGCTAGTGAACAGATATATTTGTAAAATTAACAAAATGGGTAAAATAGTCAAAAGAGCTCATCTGACTGAAGCACTCAAAGCCTTTGATCTTCACAATACAAACTTGGATTCTCCAGTAACCCACAATTATCAAAATTATGATTATTTCAAGCAATCCCTTTCCCCCAGAAGGTGGCTATGACAGTTACGCTAGTAAATTCTGCTTGAGAACAAATGCTCAAGTCACTTATGAGACTGGTGACAAAGATTACAAATTCAGGACCCAACTTCTAGACCTCTTAACTGCTTCAGGGGAAGTCAGTGTGGGTTTTTCATTTTTCAAAGTCTGGCTTTTGGTAACTCTAGCATTAATTGTTAAAGGACTTTATTCTTTTTAAGTAATAGTGCTACTCTAAAATTTTATTTTGAGTATGTATTAATTTCTTACTCAGTATATCTGCTCTTGTAATGTATGTGGCATTGCACCAGATGATATCAGGTTCAATTTTTCACTCCTCCCAGAATCCAGACAGCTTGGTGATACTGAGCTGGATTCTCATTCCTCTTGGGGAATCAAAAGATCCTAAATGAAAAAATCCTTCCATTTTATAAACATATAATATATAAAGGTATAAACAGAGATTACTAGATTAGCAGTAGATTTTTGGTAGCAGAGGGTGTGATTTGGCTTTCAGAATTTACTGCAGTCAATAACTTTGGAAAGGAGTAGCAGCTACAAAGTTAAAAACCACTCTTTTAAATTAATCACCATAGACCAAACGACATGAGAAGGAAGTATCAAATGTACCACAAAATGAAATTTTATAGAGCAATACTTTTCAGAAGAAAACCCTGCTTAAAAGACAAAAGTGACAGGTCATATTCCATTTAAGTATCTGACATTACTAAGCATGCTTATTATCTGCAATTTTTCTTTGATTACCAACGTCTAACTGAAAGCAACTTAACCAGAAACATTTTGAAAAAACACAGAGGAAGTATGAATGGTAACTTCAAAATAGATGAGTGGGTGGAGATAGGGAGGCTTACTGACTTTCTTGCTGAAGAGACTCAGAAATGATGACAAGCTCCCTCTGAATGATAGCTTACCTTTTCCTAACGTGATTATTCCTCTTATTGTTTTCCAGTGGCTTTTCTTGGCAGGACAAACAGAGCTTCCTCTGTCTCTAATTGTATTCTTGCTTTTTTCAAGGTCCTGTTGAAATAAATCCAAAGGGAAAATCAAGGGTGTTTTTATTTTAATCATATTTCAATAATATAGTGATAATGAACATTAAAATACCTCTTTATTCAGTTGGTTCTCAATTTGTTTTTCAGAGTCAGCCAGATTCTGAGGTGAGGAAGAAAATTCATTTCTTTCCTTGTATGAAAACACAGGGGTTTGAGTGACAAGAAAAACAATATGTTCTTTTTTCCCAGTTCTTTCTTCTTCTTCTGTTTGATTGACTATTTCCATTGAAATCTCAATGTTAAAAAAATCCAGGGCTGCCGCACTGATGATTCCTGAAGACGAAACAAAAGACAAACTATTGCCAAGAACAAACCCTTTCCATTTTCCCTTTTAGAGGGCCAACAGTGGAATTTCACTGTTTCAGAAATCACTTTTCTAAAGGACTCTGGAAGAAGAAAGCAACCTATGTCATTCCTACTACCATTGCCGTAGTAAGAATATGGGCATAGGAGACAACCTTTAAAGTTACTGTTTCTTTTGTCTTGTCTGATGATAAATGCATATTTTCACTAGAAGCAGCTCATCAGGATATCCATCTGAAGAATGTGTCCAAATAGTCATACATAGCAATAATATGAATTCCCATTAACCCAAAAAGTGCAGGGCATCTAAAGGGATTCTGCTATAACAATCTATTTCAGTCATAGCAGAATATTTTCTTTTGAAAGGAAGGAAATATCTTTCATGAAGATGCACAATCAGTCCTCTCATTTCTGCTTAGCTATTGGGCAAAATACTGGACAATGACATGAAAAGCTCTGTCTGATATTCCAAATAGTTCTGTGCTTCAATAGGAACATGAAATGAGTTTTGACAAAGGGGGAAATTTTGATAAACTTCTAAATTCAGCAGCATCTATGAAAGAAAGGAATATGACCATCTCTTACAGACTTACAGCTGTTTAACCCTTGCACAAGGACAACTGTGGAGATTCCTATAAATGCCAGTAAAAGATTCCATTTTGAGCAGGGTTCAATAGTAGTTTTACAGATTGCATGTACTGCAGGAGTATTTATTACAGGATGGATGGATGTCTTCAAATCAACTATAATTTCTACTTCACTGTAATTTAAGGAGCTCGACTCACTGAGAACTAATCAACAGTTAGACACAATACACACCATGAACTTTAATTTTTCCTCCAGGAAGGGAATTCTATAGGAGTTCTATAGCAGGAATGGACACTTATGGCCTGGGTTGTCTTATCGTAAATCTTGATGGAAGCTACTGGGAGCTAGGAGCCATCAGGCAGTAGAGATATACTTGAGGTCAGATGTCTGGTGACTAAACTCTACTGGGCTTCAATTCCATGGCCAGTCCTCATCTGAAAAAAGATTCTGAAACCTGAGCAAAGTATAACTGCAAATATATGATTACTCTGTGTATGTATTGCATTACCAGCTGATCTGTACTCTGCATTCCACCTGATTACCTGGCACAATATGGCACAGACCTCTTCTGTCTGAATAGTAGTGTAAATGCATTGACCCGTCTTCATTCTTTTCTACTCTAAAAGATGGTGCATTCATCTCCTGAGGAAAAACAAACAAACCCAAAACTTCAGTATCTTTTTCTGATAAAGAATACTGGTGAATTCCACTTGTACAAAAGCATCCCATGTCTTAATAAAATAAGCATTAATATGAATAAGCTGAAAAACAGAAGATTAAATATGCTCACCTGTGAAGGAAAATCTGCTATGCATTAGAGCCAATGTACTAAATAATATCTAAGGTTGAGGACTACTCAGAAAAAAATTATTTTAAAAAGCTGTCCTAACATTTTGGAGTAATCAGTTTCAGAACACAGGAGAGCCTGTCATAGCATCTTTTTCCATTATTCATTCAGACCTATGAGATACTGTTCCTTGTGTTGCAAACTCTGGCAGAGTTCACCCATACCTGCTCAGTAATTACTACTCAAACTTGCCTGGTAAGAAAGGGACAGGTAGCTGTGCAATGCATCCAGGTTCTCTATGAACTCATAGAGATTTCCACCCAGTGTCCTCAGCATGTGGTCATAGCCTGAGCGTTTACAGAATTCAAAGAAATACTCTCCAAACTCTCTCAGAACTGTATCAGCAGGAACACCTGGCAAAATAAAGATACCTTAATGAATAAGAAGGGCTTGGAAGTTCTTGAAATGCTGTCAGGTGGATTAAGAGTGAATGCAGAAAATTTGCAACATAGGGAGGGCATTCCAAAGAGCACAGGAGACTAAAACCTGGGCTGCAGGTGACCCAGGTTGGCTCATTTTTGAGGCATGGTGATGCATACCCAATATTTTGCAGGCTTTGTCGACAAGCTGCATTGTGATCTCATCTTTGTAAACCTCGAAAGTCAAGAATGAATCCTGGACACCAGCCTGCAGTCTGCAACAGAGAAGACAATATTCTTGTCTCAGCGGTGCTGTAAATATAACATGCTTGGGTGACCCAACTGGCATTAATTAAGCACTGTTTGCTGTTAACCAACTCCTTAATCTCCTTCAAGCGTTACGTTGGAACACACTACTTCCCCTAATGGTTTACAAGTGTTGCTTTAACATGGCCGAATGGTGGTTTCCACCTCTCTGTTTGTGCTGGTTCATGTTAACAGTATTATGGCACTCTTTCAAGGATTATGGCATCATACTGTGGGGTGCTAGAGCAAGTGGAATCTTCGTTTGTCTTCTGGTCTACTGGCTTGTTGTTCAATGCAATATCAGGCTCTTGGGTCTCCACAGACTTGACCAAAAACTTGCTCATTTTTTATATTGGCTTCAATGGCTATTATATGTATATACCTCAGTATCATTTATGTATCTTTAGATCTTGGAAAATACCACATAGCTCATAAAGTAAAGACAAAACCAGAGAAGATGATACATTTAGCTGCTTTTCTGAAAGTACTGGAATTAAACTGACTTCATATCAAGGATGACATCTTTTCAGTGTAATTACTTCTCGATATTGTCCCAGTGAGCCAGCGACTCTATTGCACAATCATCTATAAGACTAAATGTCATCCTTAATTATCTATATAACAAATTAATTGGGACAAATTAGTATCAGACTATGAAGTGTTACAAGGTAAGAAACTCTTGCATTTGTCCTGCTAGTTACTTGTAACAATTACTTGAGATAGGTAGATGAGCTGCCATTTACCAGTGAGAAATTAGAATCCTCTGCTGCTAAATGCCCGACCGTTTTCTTTCAACACACTACGTGTATTGGGAGCACATTACCTTAATTTTTCCCATGTTTCTTCACCGTACTTTTCAACCACCAAAGACTTCAGGCACGTATTGATAAATCCATACTGCAAAGGCAAATAGATGAACGTGGAAAAGACGTACTGATTTTCAAAGTGCCGCCCAAACGTGCCCCCTTTTTGTATTTAAGATTCCACCGCTAATTTTATATTGCAGAAGAGAAAGTAATAAGGCTCGACAGCCATTGCCGTTCCGCAAACAGCATAGCCTTTATCTCGGCATTTCACAAGCGTTCAGCAAACCAGAGCAAACACGTTCGACCCTGTTTTGCAGATAAGGACCCGGAGAGCCCGGGTCAGGGATGCGCTGTGCCACGCGTGCAGCCTGGAGCGCGTCCCCCGCGGCGGCTGCGACAGCAGCCACGCACGGCTGCGGCGTCAGGAGGCAAGTTTGGCTCTGCCGTGCCTGCTATTTTTTGCCTTAGGACTGGCACACCGGCCGCCGGAGATGGGGGAAAGGGATGCTAAGGGAGCAGCCGCAAGGAGCGCCGCCACAGCAGCGCCACGATCACATCCACGCAGGGTGGTGTGGTCCGAGACGCCGAAGCGATGCGGGTTAGCGTCCCGCCCCCGGCACGGCAGGCAGGAGGCTCTCGGCCGCCTGGGCTCTCGGGCCGGGGGTGCCCGTTCGTCCCCGACGGGCGCCGCCCGTCCCGACTCGCCCCCC